TCACTAAGCAATTTGGAAACCGTAATCAAGTCGCCTCTAGTTCTGAGATATGACAACGGGAAAAGGTTCAGCTTGGCCAGTCGTGCATCATACGGAAGCTTCGCTATTCCGGGAATCAGCTTAGTTGCTGTTCCCTGAACCTTTCCCAGAACCTCACTGCCTTTTTTAAGCAGGGGCTGGCCGCTTTTATGCAGTACTCAAGTTTAGGATGTGCGAACACCATATACAAAGTCGAAAACGCCTTGGCGTCGGTATGACTAAAAGCCCTACTTATTGACCATAAGGTTCTAAAACCTTTGGCGGCTATTGCACGGCAGTGTGCAGTAGTCTTTAAGTCTTAGCTGATGATGACTCTTAAGTCATTATCTGTCTGAACGGCAGGCAGCTCAGTGTTATTCATCGTGTATGTATCTGTGACTTGATGACCGATATGCATCACAACATACTTGGAAGTATTAATCGGCAACTGCCATGTTTGAGACCATTCAGATAACTTCTTCAGGTCATTTTGAAGTTCTAAGCTATCACTCTTACATCGTATCGTTTTCCATATCTTGACATGGTCAGCATATAGCGAGACCGATGATGATAGGAGACGAGGAAGGTCATTTGCATTCAAGAGGAATAGGACTGGCCCCAAAATTGTACCATGAGGCACTCCACTAAGCACAGCTTCCCAACTAGATAACTTTGAGTTCACCCTTACTCTTTGTTAACGCTCAACTAGGAATTCTTTTATCCACATCAATAGATTGCCTCCGATTCCGATATTTCTTAGCTTATATAACAGCCGGTTGTGTGGAACTTTGCTGAAATCAACGAAGGCTACGTCTACAGGTAACTTTTGGTCCTTAAGAGCGCACCAGCTTTCACGAGCCACTAATAAGTTGATGAGACAAGAGTAACCCATTCTGAAACCGTGCTTCTTCTCCGAAAGAATCCGGTGTTCAACGAGATACTTAAACAGCTCCTTCCGAATAATCTTTTCTAGGATTTTAACGACTACATTAGTTAAGCTAACGGGTCGGTAATTCTCAGGTTTATGTTTCGTACCTGTTTTGAAGACAGGACTTACTGTGGCGTACTTCTAATCTTTTGGCAAACGACTCTGTGTAACGGATAGGTTAAAGCATATACTTGAAGGGCTTGCAACGAAGTTAGATAATTCCTTCAGTAGCCTAGGATGCAATCCATCGGGCCCTGTGGATTTACCTATGTCAAGCTTATTTAGCAGACCAAAGGCATCGAGTTCTTTAATGGTCACGCTATCCAGTGTATGTGTGGAGAGATTTGTATGTGCTGATGGGAACGGTGCTTCTATGGTGTATACATTGCTAAAGTAGTTCGAGAACACTTGGGCGTTATCAAAGTCGTCCTCCACCATCGTTCAATTATAATGAAACCAACAATGGAGGCCAAAATTTTCTAATGATTTTTATTAGGATAAGGAGATTGTGCCCATCATAGCTGAGTAAGAACAAATAGTTCTATACCGTTTTGATACTAATAAAATAGATTTTTACAATACATTTTTAATAACGAAATATATCGATAAGTTTATGATAATAGCAAATGAGCTCACAAATAGCCGACTGCTTCATGGATTGTCTATAATTTAAAGTCTCGCCGAACGTTCTTATGTCGCACTTTTTCGTTGCGCACGAAGGCCCCTATAATGGTGTAAAAAAGTGAGTTACATCATTGATTTTGTAATATGTAGCACACGAAGAAAATCCGACCTCCAGCTCATCACTGAACATAATTTACGAAATACAAGTATGTCAGGTTATTAAATGTTGGACACTATACTGAATATCATCTAGGCCATGAACGGCTAACATGAATAGATTTACAGGGCCCCATGAACCGGCCATTTCGATAGTGGCTTCTTTCTTCAATTCTGTAATCTCTTCCTATTGTAAAATAAACTAGTAAGAGTTCATCTGTTTAGTTGAGTTATTGATATGCATCAGATCTTGAATTTTGGCGAGAAATACACTCATTCATCTGGCTGAATACCATTTCAGCATTAAATCTGGTGTCAGTTCGTGATGAAAACATAGTCTCATCAAATCACCTTTTACATGGAGATGCATAAAAATGAATAGTATGAGTAAACAACAATATGCTACTTTTTACAGCTTTAATAAAATACTGCATCTTCAGTCTTGTGATGTCATACGTATGTAGGGCCAGTAGAATGTCACTGAGCCCTAATCAAGTCATCTGGCAGTTGGGTCACTGAATGTCGAACAGTTCGTCCATCACCGTCAAGATCAAGGACAAACAACGCACACCAGTTAATCGTATGCCATGGACTGATACATGCAGTGGTGGTCACACCATCTCTGTGCCCGTTCTTACTAATATGTTTCCGTAATAACATTCTCTGTGTTATACGGTCTTCAAAGCAGCCGTAGTACATTGATGCGATGAAGAGGTAATCCACGTTAGGTTCTGACCGCGAGGTGTGACTTCGAAGTTAGCCAGTTCACTGTACCATTCCCGTCTAACTTTAGCAGGCCCCCAGTCATTCCACATATATCAGCTACGTTGGTGGTTCACACATATAATTATATTAGTATTCAAGATCTGTTATTTATATACATTGATGGAGAATATAGGTCGTCTTTCACGTTAATCGTACGCTGTCCTTCAGTTCTTATGTGCTTAGTATGCCCAAGTGTGAGTCGCATTTTGCCTCTGTTCTGTTGGTCGAGGCACTTGACCCTATAATGTAAGTGTTGAAATTATTTTAGGTAAGCCTTCAATAATCAGCCTTATTGTTTCGCTCTTCCCAAAACACTGTGGAGTTTATATTTTCTTTTACGAGATGATGCCAAGGAGTTGTTAGAACTTTGAGTCGTTTTGGTGAACTCAACTTGTGGTGTTCCCCAACATGGAAATTTTCTCTGTAATAATTGTAATAATTGTAATAATTGCACTGCATCATTACATGTATTTGTTATTATATTCAGATCTCTCAAGTTTTCCTATACACGCAAATATTAACACTTACTTCATTGGTATTTTGAAGTTCATAGGCCCGTTCCCAAAACCATAGAACATTATGTGGAGTTTGTCATGTTAAATTTATTTATAATCGATCTTCAAACTTTTTTAGTAAATCGACTCACATAAAATAAATGTTCTCTAACAGTAACACCCTTTGACCAATGGAAAAGTAATTTTCTCCTTCATATTTCTTCTCTTTAAATGCAAAATGGTATCCATTTTCTAGGAATATGGATTTATAAATGGAAAACGCATCCCCTCAGAGATCCAATAAATACATTTTATAATAACATAAGCACAGAAAATAAATGAAGTTTGGTTTTCTAGCTGTTGGAACTCAGAGGTACAGCTTGTGAAGACTTTTTAAGTATAGATCTTTGTATTGATTCATCATTTTCTAACAAGTAAGACATTAAGAAATGGGAGTTTTGAATGGTATTCTTACGCATTAATAATTTAATCGAGGGGCGGGGATAATGAAAATACCAAAGAACAGTTTGACACGTCGATGGAAGAGGGTTATCAATAATACTAAAGAGATTAACAAACCTGAGATCATTTTCTTTCATAGTTCTTGATAACACGACAAATAACACTTAGAAACGAATATGCGAACCGTTAGAAAATCCCAGGTGACCTCAACGTTGAGTTTAACAGAAAAAAACGCTTATGCTGATGTGATATCTTCAAACATTTACGCAAATCAGGAAGGGTTAACACCCTATTTCATTAAGCACGAAAGCATGAAAGAATATATTGACCTGAGTAGTAGTAGAAAAACACAGGAAAACCAGACTGACTGTAGATCACGAACGTGGATGATCTATGTCGAATGATTGTAGGGCTACTCGAGTTAGACGTGATTAGCAAGACAAACTAGCTAACGTCGAAGTCACACCCCGTGGTCAGCACCCTACGTGGACTACCCCATTCACGTATCAAGGTACCATAGATGCTTTGAAGACTGTACAACACAGAAGACGTTATTACAGAAATATATTGGTGAAAGTAGATACTAGCGAAAGTAAGACCACTGCCGCATGGCCGAGTCCATGGCATACGATTAACTGATACGCCATGGTTGTCCTTGACCTTCACTAGGATCGATGATCTGTTCGATATTCAATGACCCAACTACCGGATGATTTGGCCAGGGATTAGTGACATTTCACTGGGCCTACATGACATTCAGAGGACCACATGGTTTGCAAAATTCCAGCTCGCTAAGAGATTAAATTTTGCAATGGCACGAAAAGGTCAGCGGAAAAACACAGGAAACGAGCCAAAGCTTGTGGGTGTATCCGAAAAGCTATTGCAAATACAATTTACCATTGAAATGGCATTGAATAGCAAGATGTCCTCGTTAGTGCAACACTGCTTAGCAAACCACACAAAAATTTTTTTATTCAACCATTTGAAAGCCACAGGTGTTAGTTTCGTGCAAACTTACCGTAACGTCCTTTCGCACGTCGTACTACATACCACTGTCAACGGGGTATCAACATCCCGGGAGTTGTTATTTGCTTTTCTTGCACTGTCCAGCCATCAAACAGAGGTTTTCAAAGGGAAAGAAGATAAAATTATAACCAGAGACAAAAGTAATTTATGACCAAAAAATTGGAAAACTGTAAATCGTTAGGACCTAAACTACTAACAAATACAGTAGAAATAAAGTACTCAAAAGTACAGACTGTAAACTACATTGGGGACATAAACGATGTTTTTAGAGGATGAAAACACAACCAAAGTGAAAACAATAGTCTTGATACGTAATAAAGTATTAAAAAAGTAAAATTTGCTGAAGGGAGAAACTTTATACTGATCTTCTATTTATCAAAACGAAGCTAGCATTACACTAGTTTAGCCGATATGTACAAAAATGTATGGAAACACCTCCTTCTAAAGCTAAGAACCAAGTAATAACAGTCATCCAGCTTAAATCAACTGTTAGTCGTTTTAGTGCATCACGAAAGTCAGAGTACGTCAATAGAGCCAGTTTGAAGCTCGTTGCTGTGGTATATTTGTTCACCACAGTAATGTCTCTCCCTGACGTTGGGAGGATAGCTTCTGACACAACTTTCTTATTGAAAGTAATAGAAGAATATCTTGGCGGACCACCATGGACTCAGGAATATTCAAAAAATGATGTTAAAGTTTGGTCAAAAGGGTCGAAAAATGATCAAATCAAGACTTTCAAGGCAACTGCCCTTTTCAAGGGAGTTTCAGGATCTGAGTTATTTGACTGTATCATGGATTCCGATTATCGAAAGGAGTGGGACAAGTCAATGATTGAAAGTTACGAACTGTGTCAAGTACACCCTCAAAGTGACATAGGATATTACTCTCGTATGTGGAATGCTTTTCATTGATCTGTTTTTAGTTCGTTCGCCTCCAGGGTTAAAAAACAGGGATTTCGTTCTTCAGAGAACATGGGAAAGGTTTGACTCGTATTATGTAATCGCCTGCCACTCTATATTTCATAAGGTATGTTCTTTTGTGACCTTTTGTATCCAATACACTTACTTAATCAACATCATCCTGTCTTTATTCGTTTAACTCACTATCTCGTTTTAAAGCGTTACTATGAATCAGATTAGGTGAAATACTACTTTTTAGTGAATACGCAAGTGAATCGCAACTATTAATTGATCTTTATCTATATTTGGAATGTGACAGTGGAGTTCAGAACACGCTTTCTGTCCCATTTATAACTGAACATTTGCTGATCTTAGCATCTAAAAAATCCAAAGAAACGTTACAAATCTTGATCGGTTTATCTGATGTGTTGTTTGTTCACAAAGAAGTATAGTCCTGTGTAAACTAAATAATAATGGTTAACTTTGAGTATAGAAATCTAGGAGTTACAAAAAGCTGGTAGACTTGGAATGTACTGTCATAAAATCAAGGCAGTCTAGTGGTAAGCAGTTTTAAATGAGAAAGTTTTTGGTTAATTTGCATAAGATACTATGAAACCAAAGAACTTTCCTGATTCTTCCGTATACTATGGGCCTCAGAAGTTGTACCGTCACTTTCACCTATATCATACTTGTAACTTTAAAACTCATAACTATCGTATATAAGCACCAAAAGACTCATTGTAGACTTCGCATTCCTATTAGTGTCTCGTGAAACTTGCTCAGTAAGAATTTAGGAAGCGTAAAGTACTTATTCACTCGAAATTAAAAATAATTTCCATAGACATAAAGAGTTCATCATTTGTATGTGGGCTGTGATACTGCCCGGGTGCCCAAACCGAAGCAGGTGGTTATCTTAGGGGGCCACTCCCCGAGCCTTTGACCTAAAGGTCTAACCCACAAGGCAGTGGAGCATCGTAAGGAGATGCAATCCCATGTTAGCCGGTGACCAACGATTGGTTCATACGCCATTTGTTCCCGCAGGATACTGAAGCCCATGTGCACCATTGGTTTGGAATCCGGTTAAAGCGCTGGACATTCGCTTTTCGTCCTCTCATTTTCGTAAACAACACCCCTGCCACGAGAAAGCAATGAGTAGGACTTCCCTGGCAGAGGCTGTATACGCGCGGCCATGTGAGAGTATTTCGAGAGGTAGAGCGGACCCTCCCCACTCTCAGCCGTACCAGGGCATTCGGGGGGCAAACGTGTGGGCGAAAACTGAAAGCCAGTCGAATGTCGTCCCAGAGAATTCCACGTCGTGCATTATTTGCCGACTCTGGGACTGGTTGGAAGAAGCAGAGAGGTGGTCAGTGCATGACATGGTGTCGTGGCATGAAAGAAAGCTGCAAAGGACTGGCTTCTGTTGGTCCTTCACCACTCCCTGGTTGGGGTCCGAGAGATGGTGCTACACAGTGGCTAGAGACGTTATCAGATATGGCTCAAAATAGAAGCCAGTGGCGATCCTGCTGTAACCTTCTTTTACTTTCTCCATAAAAAGTGGTTGTGTCTCCCTTACCTGAAAGATTTGTTCTGATTGTATCTCGTTACAACCACACTACCTTACACCAATCTCTTCGTTATTGTTCTCTTTTTCTTTTGCGCTCCTTAGTTTTTTTTTCTATTTCTCTTCGCATTCTCATTGTTTTGTGTGGCGCATATATATTGGCGCTCTCTTGTACCAATATTTATGTGTTCAAATAAATAAAATAAATAAGTTAAAAATAAACGCTGAATGTTTTCAGTAAATCAAAGTTAATGAAAAAGGACTCTCCGTCTACCTGTTTTGTTTGTCTTCAATGCTGACGAACTCTGAGCCATCTGAGGCTTTAATTTATAACTAATTCACCCCAATACCTTGCGAAGTCATCTAATTTCTTTCTCAATAAGCAATGTGTTTGAGAATTTTCAACGTTTTGTAATCTTAAAGTGACCACGTAGATGTAATTCTACTTAATAATACACATACTTGAATAGACAGTTGATTTTAATCAGGGAATTGACATATCTGTATTGGCATAAATAATAACTTCTTACAACTTTATCATGCAAGGAAGATATTAAGAGCCAGGAAGCTAGAGTTGACTGTTTTTGTATTGATACCAATTAAACTATTATGTGAATTTAAAGACCATTTGGTAGTAGTAATTTCTAATTATGACGATAATTATTGGAGTCCTCAATGATTTCCCCTTCCTGTTATTAGAATTTGTTGAAAGTCAACCTTAACACCCTCGTATTCCATTGTATTTCAACTTTACTTTATCAAAATTTTAAAAAAATCTTGTTTCAAAAAAGTTTGTTCATCTATAAAAGTGGACATATCTGTATCAAATCTCTATAGTTATAGAACACTTTTAGATATTCTATGCTGTTAGTTTTCACATCATAATTATATGGAGTTATTAATCTTCTTCGTCTTTAGCTTTTTTATCATTATTTGACATCATAGTGTTTTACTGTCAGCATCAGTGAATCTTCAAGTCTAAAAAGTAGTATCAAATATCCTGATAGAATGTATATCACATAGAAATTACTTACTTACTTACTTGCGCCTGTTACTCCTCGTGAAGGAGCATAGGCCGCTCACCAGCATTCTCCATCCAACCCTGTACTGGGCAATCCTTTCTAGCTCCGTCCAGTTGTAATTCATCGTTTTCATATCTGCTTCTATTATCCGACGCAATGTGTTCTTTGGCCTTCCTCTTTTTCGCTTCCCTTCAGGATTCCAAGTTAGGGCTTGCCTCGTGATGCAGTTTGACGATTTGCGTAATGTATGTCCTATCCATTTCCATCGTCTTTTCCTAATTTCTTCTTCAGCTGGAAGTTGGTTTGTTCTCTCCCACAGAAGGCTGTTGGTGATGGTATCCGGCCAATGGATGTTGAGTATCTTGCGAAGACAGCTATTTATAAATACTTGTACTTTCTTGATTGTGGTTGTTGTAGTTCTCCAAGTTTCAGCTCCATACAGTAGAACTGCCTTGACGTTCGTATTGAAGATTCTCACTTTGATATTGGTTGAAAGTTGTTTTGAGTTCCATATGTTCTTCAATTGTAGGAATGCGACCATGGCTTTGCCAATCCTCGCCATTACGTCTGCATCTGAACCTCCTTGTTCATGGATGATGCTTCCCAGGTATGTGAAGGATTCTACATCTTCCAGAGTTTCGCCATCAAGTGTGATTGGATTGCTGTTCTCCGCTTTGAATTTGAGGACCTTAGTTTTCCCTTTGTGTATGCTGAGGCCTACTGATGCAGAGACTGCTGCTACATTGGCTGTCTTCATCTGCATCTGTTCGTGTGTACGTGATAGGAGGGCTAGGTTATCTGCGAAGTCCAAATCGTCTAATTGATTCTGAGCTGTCCATTGTATTCCGTGTTTTCCTTCAGATGTTGAGGTCTTCATAATCCAGTCGACCACTAGAAGAAAGAGGAAGGGAGAGAGTAAACAGCCTTGTCTGACTCCGGTCCTTACTTGGAATGCATCTGTCAGCTGTCTACCATGCACTACTTTGCACTGTAGTCCGTCGTATGAGTTCCGGATAATATTGACAATCTTCTCAGGAACTCCGTAATGTCGAAGAAGTTTCCACAATGTCCTCCTATCTACACTGTCGAATGCCTTTTCATAATCAATGAAGTTGATGTACAGTGACGAGTTCCACTCAACTGATTGTTCGACGATGATCCGTAGTGTTGCAATTTGGTCTGTGCACGACCGATCCTTTCGGAATCCAGCTTGTTGATCTCGAAGTTGGGCATCTACTGCATCCTTCATCCGGTTCAGCAACACTCTGTTGAAGACTTTCCCTGGTATTGACAGTAGTGTGATGCCTCTGTAGTTTTCATATTTGCTCAGATCTCCTTTCTTTGGAATCTTGACGAGGTGTCCTTCTTTCCAGTCCATTGGCACTTGTTCCTCCTCCCAAATCTTTTTGAATAGAAGATAAAGCATGCTTGTGGTTGCTTCGATGTCTGATTTCAGTGCTTCAGCTGGTATGTTGTCGGGTCCTGCTGCTTTCCCGTTCTTGATTTGTCTGACGGCCATTCTAATTTCTTCCGTAGTTGGTGGATCGACATCTATAGGAAGATCTGTATGTGCTGCTTCGATGTCCGGTGGATTCATTGGAGCCGGCCTATTCAGGAGTTCCTCGAAGTATTCTACCCATCTGTTACGTTGTTGTTGAATTTCGGTGATTGGCTTACCTTCTTTGTCTTTGACCGGCCTCTCTGGTTTACTGTATTTCCCTGATAGTTTCTTCGTTGTATCGTAAAGCTGTTTCATATTTCCTTCTCTAGCAGCTTTTTCTGCCGTCGTTGCTAGTTCTTCCACGTATTTCTTCTTGTCGGCTCTAATGCTCCTCTTCACTTGTTTGTTTGCTTCTATGTATTCAGCTTGTGCTTGGACTTTCTCTGCTCGTGTTCGGCTTTTGTTTATTGCTACCTTCTTGTTCTTCCTTTCTTTGATCTTGTCCAGTGTTTCTGTAGAGATCCATTCATTATGATGGTATTTCTTTAGACCGAGAACCTCCTGACACGTTGGAATGAATGTTTCTTTGATGCCTTTCCAGTTGTCCTCCATAGTAGTTTCTTCTTCCTTCAGTAGATCTTGTAAGGCTTGGAACCTGTTTTTGAGAGCTATCTTGAATTCATTGAGTTTGTCAGTATCTCGAAGGAAGGCTGTATTGAACCTTTGTAGTGCTGTTTGTCCACTCGTCCAGTTCTTTTTTAGCTTCAGTTTCAAATTGGCTACAACTAGGTGGTGATTTGAAGCTACGTCAGCACCTCTCCTGGTTCTCACATCTTCCATTGTCCTTCGGAATATTTTGTTGATGCAAATATGATCTATTTGGTTCTCTGTAGTGTGGTCCGGTGAGATCCATGTAGCCTTGTGTATACGCTTGTGTGGAAATATTGTGCCTCCTATGACCAATTTGTTGAATGCACATAGATTTGCAAATCTTTCTCCATTTTCGTTTCTTTCTCCCAGTCCATGTCGTACCACAATATCTTCATATCCAGTATTGTCTATTACGACTTTGGCATTTAGATCTCCCATTAGAATGGTGAGGTCCTTTCTTGGGCATTTCTCTATCACTGACTGCAGCCGCTCGTAGAATTGATCTTTAATGTCGTCGTTTCTATCATTAGTGGGTGCATAACATTGGATAATATTCATTATGATCCCCTCCTTCTTTGTTTTGAATGATGCTTTGATGATTCTGGATCCGTGAGATTCCCATCCTACAAGTGCATTTCGTGCTACTTTGGACAGCATAAGAGCGACTTCCTGAGTGTGTGGAGCATTGTCCTCTTCGTGACCGGAGTATAGCAGCATCTCTCCCGTAGCTAGCCTTTTCTGTCCAGCTTGGGTCCAGTGGGTTTCGCTGATTCCCAGTACTGCTAAGTTGTATCTCCTCATTTCCATTGATATTTGACTGGTCTTCCCGGTTTCCCACATTGTTCGAACGTTCCATGTACCTATAAAAATTTTTGCTCTGGTTGTTAGAAGGGGCATCGGCCTCGTGGCTTCCGAAGGAATTCGGCTTTCACCATGAAGCGTCATAATTCTTCTAAATGAAGACCTTCTAACTCCCAGGGCAGAGTTAAAATGGTTTGGATTATTTTTTCTGGTAAGCGTTTTTTAGCGAGTTAGTTTTCTACGGGATGGGGACGCTAACCCTAGGCCCAACCCTCCTCCTTTACCCGGGCTTGGGACCGGCAGCAACCCTATAAGAGCTACAGGCGGAGTTATATCACATAGAAAGCATACTGTATAATAGTTCTCCCCGTGCTAAAAGATGCTCATTAAAGCCAGGTTTTTGTAGATTGCTTGTATTGTGCTATGGAGATTTCTGAAGCCTACTGCTTGCATGATAGGGCAATGAATTATGTTTTCAAACATTGGATACTGAAATCTAAATAATAAAAACAGATCATTTTGTGTGGCTATTAACTTGTACTGGCTGTGGTGGCCAGTACAGACAAAAGACACGCAACGTCTCTTTGTTTCGCTAAAGCATTAGAAATTTGTTATGTGGTCTTCGCCAAACTACTGCTTATTTTCTGTACTCCAAAATCATTCATTCACTCAATTTGCTTAACTTACGTAAACTCTTTAAATCTTGTTCCATTATTGCGTAACCCATGAATTTCTAACTTTTAAACGATTACCATCTTATTTCTCTAAATTTTTTTATATCTACTTTCTAGTGACTTGAACTTTTTTATGAAATTCCTTCATAACTACAATCATAAGATCTGTCCTATTCTGTTTCCGGACTTCGTTTAATTACTGCGTAATACCCCCCCTCCTGTTTTTAAATTCCATTTTCAAATGACCTCACATTTGTTCACGTATCTATATGTATAGTTATTATTGTTAATCTTTAATAATCTAGCCATTTTCCGTCACCAGTGTGAATTGTTTCACATTAGATGTTATATCAGTGTTTGTAAGCAGGTGATGAGAAACCACAAAACATATGGAATTTATATTATTTTGCCTTGATTGTTGTTTTGGCTTTATTCAAATGTCAGAATATAGGTATAGATAAAGAACCGATAAATCAACACTATTACATTCTATCACAATTGATTGATCACTGGGTGGTGATCACTGTCATGCTTGTCTAGTCCTTATTAGTGCAGATCGAATGCTATCGATCATGTTGCAATGTGGCCAACAGTCTAGGTGACTCGACACTGCGGGCACTATGTATTGAGATTTAGATGGTGGTTGGAGGTAGTCAACAGGAAACCCTGGACCCGGGTTTCGTGCTACTTGGCACTCGTCAGCAAGGTGTACCTGTAATGTTGAGGGAACCGATGCTCCCTGGTGGATTCGACCTCGTGTCACCCAGCTTCACAGTCAGAGACGTTGCCACTGAGCTATCCGAGCCGTGACTAACCTCCTGTAGGACTGAGATGTAATCACAATTGATTGGCTCGGATAGCTCAGTGGTAATGTCTCTGACTGTGAAGCTGGGTGACACGAGGTTGAATCCGCCAGGGAGCACCAGTTCCCTCAAGATTACAGGTACACCTTGCTGACGAGTGCCAAGTAGCACGAAACCTGGGTCCAGGGTTCCCTGTTGACTACCTCCAACCACCATCTAAATCTCAACTATTACATTCTATTTCATACTATATTGTCTAATGTCTCCAAATGTCAACCATAACTATCACCAAAAATAAATAAGTTTAAACTTGGATTGATTTTGATTTGGTCATTTATTCTCATAAGAAATGGCTTGCATTAAGTCACGAAACGTCAGAAAATCTAATTTTTCTACTGATTGGAATATTACTTTTATTTATAACAATCTACCTAATGCTCAATTTATTCAAAATTATCAAGTCAAACCTTGGTAATGATACCTATCATCATAACGTTTATACCCCGTCTCTCCCTTCAACACGGCTTCAAACCAACAATCATTGACTGCTATAGTTTGCCATAGTTGCTCCCAACTACAAGTTTTAGTTGGAACTCGTCCACAATAATAATCACTAATCATTGATGAGTAACTATGAAATTTCGTAGACTAATAAGCCTAAAGTTTCTAGAAATAATCTTAATTATTATCATTTATATTTCTTTTTTTTTTTTTTAAATGAACTAAATTATTATATTCTGTTGTTCATATTGATTTTCAAGGGAATTCCTGTTCGAAAACAGTGTATCCGAGCATTAACCCATATGAATGCATATATTATTCGTCTACTTGGTACAAATTCCTGTGAAATGACTTATGTCACCAGCTGTGATTTTCGTGGTTAGTATACAGTGTTTTTCTTTAAATAGTTGTTTAATTCTGTATTCAGAAAAAAGATCAGTGCTTTTAATTAAACAAAAGGTCACAATAGATAAATAAACTTGGGTACGCTTGCCAGGTCTTGTATCAATGATGGTCTGATATATATAAGCTTTGTTTTATTGCATATATATATATATATATATTCTGAATTCCTGGCCAGTTCTTTAGTATTTTATTGTGAAAAATTGTTTTACTTGTCACCATTCTATTTCAACTATATCGTCAGTCAGATTCTGTAAACATCTCTGAAGCATATCGTAATAGTGTAAGTCTGTTATCTGGAGAAAGATTTTCTGACTTTGAGTACACTGAAAAAACTGTCTTCCTGTGGAATAACACACAAGGTGTATGTGTCACACTCAATCAATTGACAATTAATGTTTGCAGGTACGATATGTACTTTACCAACTTTCAAATGTATGGTTCTTGTACACAACTGGCGGTAAGCTGTATCTGCTCTCACTTCTTGTGGTGAGCCGCTAAAAGTTGTCAAAAGCTCGTCAGCCAGTCAGTCAGTCAGTAACAACGTAGAACTTCGTACGTACGTACATCAGTTCGAGTTGCCACACCACATTAGCACAGAGATCAAAAGCTCGTACCTCTTAATAGTTATATCAGTGTTGATGGTGGTATTACGGAGGAAATCAGCTTAGGTATATTGAACTTCAGAGTGGCGTATGCCAGTTTGGCATATTTGACGTCACTAATATTAATCTGGTTGCAACAGGCGGGTTCTCCAATACGTCGATGAGAGCGGTTCCGCCGCAAGCTTGTGTAACTCGTGAACTTGGTATCTTGATAAGGTTTCTTTCTTCCCAGTCCATCGGAACTTGTTCTTCTTCCCAACTCTTCCTGGATAGGATGTGAAGCATGTTTGCAGTTGCTTGTATACCCGACTACAGTGCTTCGGCTTGTATATTGTCAGGTCCTGCAACTTTCCCGCTCTTGATTTGTCTGATGACAATCTTGATCTTTTCGATCGTTGGTGGAGTGACATCTATAGGAAGGTCTGTGTATGCTGCTTCGATGTCTGGTGGGTTCAGTGAAGCTGGCCCTTTCAAGAGTTTTTCTAAGTGTTCTACACATCTGTCCTTCTGTCCTTGAATCTCGGTGATTGGCCTGCTTTCTTTGTCTTTGACTGGTCTTTCTGGCTTACTATATTTTCTTACTAGTTTCTTCATTGTGTCATATAGTTGTTTCATATTTCCTTCTCTTGCAGGTTTTTTCGCCGTTGTTGCTAGTTCTTCCACGTTCTAATGCTCTTTTCTCACTTGCTTGTTTGCTTCTGTGTACTCGGCTTGTGCTTGAACTTTCTCTGCTCGTGTTCGGCTGTTGTTGATTGCTGTCTTCTTGTTCTTCCTTTCTTTGATCTTGTCCAGTGTTTCTATAGAGATCCATTGCTTTATGATGGTGTTCGCTATCATTGGATAACATCGGTTGTGATTCCCTTCTTTGTTTTGAAGGGTGCTTTGACGATCATAGATCCATGAGATTCCCATCCATGTCATGGATCTTCAGACTGCATCAGAGCAACTCACTGAGTCTGTGGAGCATTTTCCTCTTCGTGACCGGAATACAGCAGCATCTCTCCCGGGTTGTGTCCACTGGGCTTCACTGATTCCGAGTACTTCCAAGTAGTATCTCCTCATTTCCGTTGCTATTTGACTGGTCCTTCCAGTCTCCCACCTTGTTCGGATATTCCATGTGCCTATAAAAATTGTTGCCTGGTTGTTATAAGGATCATCATCTTTGTGACTTTCGAAGAATTTCGGCTTTCATCATGAGGCGTCATAATTCTTCACTCAACCCTCATAGCAGAGCTTAAATGGTTTAATTTGTTCAATCTGGTTAGCGTTTTCTTCTACGGGATGGGCTTGCCGACCCCGTGCCCAACCCTTCTCATTTACCCGATCTTGTGACCGGCAGTAACACTAGAAGAGCTATAGGCAAGGTTTTATTAATTGTACTACCCTTTTATTTTCACGATATTATCGATTTATTTCTTGGGTTTCGTTCTGGTTCATTATTGTAGACAAAATAATAAAACTGCTCTTCCGAAAGACTGATCTCTGTGTTACTGCACGTGTCATTAATTTCATAATGAAAGTGACAAAAATATATTTCATGGATTTATCATTATTAGTTTTCATGACATATATAATTGTTCTAATTATTCTTGAATTACCAACATCTTAAAAGTGTTTTCTGCATTTATTCAGTATCCATGGTCTTCCAAAATAAAGTGTAATCTGTTGTACATGGATGTTTATTGAAACACTCAGAAAATAATTCATAACAACCCACATTTATTCATTTATTTATTTGAACACATAAATATTGGTACAAAGGGGCACCGAATACATATGCGCCACACAAATCTCATTTCATTTGTGTGAGGGCTATGGTACTGCCTGGGTGCTCAAACCGAAGCAGTTGGTTTTCTTAGGAGGCCACACCCAGAGCTTTCGACCTAAAATTCTGATCCACAAGTCAGTGGAGCAACATCAAGAGATGCAGTCTCGTGGTAGCCAGTGACCATCGGTCGGTTCATACGCCATTTGTTCCCTCAGGGTACTGGGGCCCATCTGCACGACTGGTTTTCCAACTCCCCTAGGTGGACTCTCCGTGTCCACCAACCCGGTTAAAGCGCCGGACATCCGCTTTTCGTCCTCTCAATTTCGTATACAACATCCCCGCCACGAGAAGTCAGTGAGTAGGACTTTTCTGTCAGAGGCTATATACGCATGCCAATGTGAGAGCATTTCGAGAATGAGAACGGATTCCTCACTCTTGGCCGTACCAGGGCATTTGGGGGCCATAACAACCCACTCTAATAAGAAACTTAAATATGTTGTGACTATTATCTTGTAATTGAAAGTTTATTCAACAATTGGTTTCTTCTCAACTTTAATACTGATACCCATTCCGTTTTGATATTTTGAAGTTGATAACTTGAATGAGTTATTGATTAAATTGAATTAAAGATCTTTTCAGAGGATTTGGTATACTGAAATTTGTTGGCATAATTACACTATGAGTTTGATTGTTATTTCTAGGCTTATTTCAGCAAAATATGACTTGTTTAATTATTTTTTTCTCTCTGCTATTTGCTTGTGCAGGTATTCATCAAATTTTGTTTAGATCCATGTGCTTCATTATTTTTGTTTAGAAGAATATATCAAGCCACTAGGCGCTTAGTATCGGAAAATTGTTCAAGCAGATTCACGATGTAATCTTAACACTCAGGACAAGTAAAGTGAAATGAGGAGGAGAACGTTGAGATGAGGAGAGTTATTAAGTGTCGATTCGTATCGCCTAATATCATGGCATTGTACTAAAATCAGTAAATTTGTAATTAAAGCGCTTTTAAATTTCGGGCCGTAGTTCTCAAGTTTGAGAGCTTCTTCTCTGGTGCTCATATTGCATTAGTTTTAAGTGGTACAGATTAGCGTTTGATGAAAGTCCTACGGAATCGAATTATAAAACATAATATTAGATAAGTAGTCTACTTCACTTTATCATGTTTGAAATCGAACTAGTTGTTGAGTTAGAATGCATACCCTATGTGTTTGATCTTTGTCTTATAGGACTATAAAGTTGGTTTATCCGGACGTGAGTCACCTGATGATCAGGTTCGAAACTTTGTTTAACTGAAGCGATTGGGGGTACATGTTCCACGTGTCCAAACACTATGAGCAACGACAGCAGTCATATTGCTCATTATCAACCATATTTATTCTAATGATGGGGAATGAAGTACTTGAGCGTACCGACCGCTACAAACTGTATTAAGAATTTCATCAGTTCTGATGGTCTAGTGTCCGACGAAATCTCGGCACGGATTGAAAGAAGTTACCGCCGAGTAAGCAATTAATGGGTCAGCAATAGGGTACTAGGTAAAGATGGCAAATCAATTGATGGGGTAATGAATCCTCATCATCGACTGAATTGGTTTGGATATGTGTTATGTGTCCCAACCACCATCTACCTCGATAGGCTATGTCTGGTGTAGGGGTAACTCGGGAGAAAAGTAGAGCAGCCAAACCGAGGCATTGCACCGGTCCATGAAGTCACTGACTACTGTAATGACCCATGTTAACAGGTGTATGCATTGGGGTCTGCATGATTACCGTAATGAATGGCTTAAAACTTTGAATGACATGACTCAAAACTTTTTGCAATGACGCAGGGGTATTCATTCTTTTTCCTCCCTCAGGTTTTAAGATTCTGAATTCCTCATAACCTTTTTAATTCACTAACTTATATTCTCTTGAATCGTATCTTCGATGCTAAACCTCCTATATTACTACTAATATTGTTACTTCCCCTAATATTCTGGAATTTGGCCTAGCAATTTCATCTCTCTGTACCAATGGAGTGTGGCAATTGGAATCAATGTACATAAGTACCAGGTTCTACTTTGCGTTCGATTGAATGACTGATGTTTATTTTATATACAAAGTCGTAATTGAGTATTATCCTTATTTAGTTAATCATATCGAAGAATCATTGAATTTCCTGAGGTTGTTAATAGGTCTTACTTACAATTCTCATTATACAGTCTAAATTCCTATCAAAATTAATGTATTAATTCTTAGATGCCTTAATCCAATCCTACATGTGCTCCATAATGCGATTAACTTCAGGCTTTGTTTGACACATTAGCATCTCTACAAATTATTCGTCTATATTGTATTTTCGATGTGTTGTCTACCCTAACCACTTTCATAAGCATGTTTATATCGGTTTTTGTTTTCTAGGTAAACTACCCATATGGGTAATTAACAAGGCTACACAGTTGATGGCTCCTCGAGCAATTCAAATATTGTACAAAGCATGCACTAAATATAATACCTGGAAAAAATCAAATAATCCTGATTATAAACCATGGTTATATCCTGGTCAAACCAATCTACCATTGTTATGTTGGGATGATTTAGATCAGACAGCCAATTTAGGACCTACTGATGACGGTGGTGATGTTACACCATTACCATCTGATGAACCTGTTCTATTGGATAGAAATGGCAGTTATAATAGTCGAGAAGAACAAGGAGATGTAGAAGAAGTAGTAGAATTCGATTCAGTACCTGTAGAGGATCAAATACAATCATGTGTCACTGCAACTTCCATTGCTACTGTATCGGATTCTAGATAAATTGATTGTATAGACAGTCATTCACTTGTTTGTTTGTCAGTTTGTTGGTAATTGAAAAAAAAATCATCTCAATTGTTCAGGTGAATAGGTGCACAAATTCATTTTGAATATGGTATGATTTTATGATAGATTGAACTTATTACGGTCTACGGGTTTTTATGATCACGTTTGTTTTAATGAAATGGTTGGTGATGATGTTAACCAGTTACCAGCTTTATTTTATTTTATTTTCTTCAAACTAAACATGAGAAGAAGGAGGAGGAGGATGAGGAGGAAACAACGGTTTTTTTCTGGAGGATTGTTTGTTTGTTTAGGTGTGTATCTTCTATCCTAATTCACATGTTGTACACACTAATTACTTCCTGTTGTATAGAAAGAAAATTGGTTTATTTCTTCTAATATTCTTTTTTGTAAAAAAAACTGTAAAAGAAAACAGTTTATTAATTACATTTTGAACAATGCACATTATGTATTTCTCATTTGTTAGTATTACAAGAACAGAGAGAGATGAGGGGGAGGGGAAGTTGTGGAAAATTTATGCCAAAACTAGACTTCTCTTTTCTTCACTTCTGTGCTCGAGACCTTCTTTCCCTGTGAACTTTGTAATAAGTTGTGTGTATGTGTGTGCACATATTTCTGTGCCGATATTATAAATACTTCACGCATGCTGGATATTATCCACAAACTATATTTTTGTATGTTCTTTCATGGGGGGAAATTCTTGTAAAAGAATATATATAAATATATGTATTTTCCCCAGAAATATATATATATATTTCACTGATACGTTTTCATTTGATTGTATGTTTTATTTTTCTTCTTTCAACCTTTTGTATATTGTATTTTATGTTTGCCAACAACAGTGATAATCTAGTAATTGGTACTTGTCATAAGTTGTTCTTTTGATTGTGATTATCCTAAACTGACTTAACTAGTTCAATTCAAGTTTTTAAACTAAGAATCTTGTATTGCTGTTTAAACCTGATGCTGGCTTGCCATCTTCTTTATCTTTACGCCTGTTACTCCCAATGGAGCATAGGCTGCTGACCAGCATTCTCCAACCCACTCTGTCCTGGGCCTTCTTTTCTAGTTCCATCCAATTCTTGTTCATTTTTCTCATGTCTGTCTCCATTTCTCGACGTAATGTGTTCTTTGATCTTCCTCTCCTCCTTTCACCTCGAGGATTCCATGTGAGGGCTTACCTTGTGATGTAGTTCAGTGCTTTCCTCAATGTGTGTCCCATCCACTTCCAGCGCTTCTTCCTCCGCTGGGATCTGGTTTGTTCTCTCCCACAGTACGTTGTTGCTGATAGTGTCCGGCCAATGGATCTGAAGTATTTTGCGTAGACAATTGTTAATAAACACCTGTATTTTCTGTGTGGTGGCTTTCGTAGTTCTCCAGGTTTCCACCCCATACAGTAGAACCGTCTTGACATTTGCATTGAAAATTATGACCTTGGTGTTGGTTGACAGTTGTTTTGAGTTCCAGATGTTCTTCAATTGTAGATATGCTGTTCTTGCTTTGCCGATCCGCGCCTTCACATCTGCATCAGATCCACCGTGTTCATCAACGTTGCTGCACAGATATGTAAAGGTTTTTACATCTTCCAAATCTTCTCCGTCAATTGTGACTGGATTGGCGTATGTTGTGTTGTATCGGAGAGTCTTGCTTTTCCCTTTGTGTAGATTGAGACCTATTGCTGCTGAGGCTGCTGCCACACTGTTCGTCTTCTCCTGCATCTGTTTTTGCGTTTGGGATAGAAGGGCCAGATCGTCTGCGTAGTCTAGATCATCCAACTGCATCTTAGATGTCAATTGTATACCGCGCTTCCCTTCAGACGTTGATGTCTTGATGATCCAGTCGATCACCAGGAGAAAGAGAAAGGGTGAGAGTAAGCAACCTTGCCTAACACCGGTCTTCACTTCGAACGACTTTGTCAACTGTCCTCCATGCACAATGTTGCAGTGTAATCCATCATATGAGTTCTGTATGATATTGACTATCTTCTGAGGCACGCCGTAGTGTCGAAGAAGTTTCCATAGTGTTGTTCTGTCCACGCTATCAAATGCCTTTTCGTAGTCAATGAAGTTGATGTAGAGTGATGAATTCCATTCAATTGATTGTTCCACAATGATCCGTAGAGTTGCGATTTGGTCTGTACACGATCTATCCTTACGGAATCCTGCCTGTTGGTCACGAAGTTGGGCGTCTACGCAGTCCTTCATCCTGTTTAACAATACCCTGTTGAAGACTTTTCCCGGTATTGATGCTGGCTACTTCATACAACTGATAGGTTTCCATTTTACTATCGAGAGGTATTTTGTAATTTCATCCGATCCGCAAATGTTTTTTTTTTAAGTCTGTATTGATCTACATGCTTAACCATTGGTGAATATATGACTGACAACGTAATCACCCCATAAATTAGTATGGGGGTTATGGAGTATATCTCATTTTATCGGTTAGACTACACTCGATGATCTTTCTGTTACCATGGTAGTTGAACGTTAACCACATTGACTCATTGTTGAATATAAATGTCGCATTCTAATTAAATGTATTTTAATTATGTTTCTATTATATATTCTGTAAATGAACATATCAATTCGTTTCGTAAAATGATTCACATTTTGATGATCAGTTATCCTGCTTTTTCGTGTTCATTCATTAAGAACTCACGTCGATTATTAGTTAGATTGGTAAGAAATTATCACTAAACTACCATAGAATTATACCAAGTAGGTTGGGTGATAGATCGGTCGTACAAATGTCCTGTAATGCATACAATCGACTTGTACGTTATCACAATGCTTTAATGAAACAATCAATCAAAGCAGTTTTGTGTGCGTTAATAATGTGAACTGTATAAGTAATCATTTTCATGATAAATATACTTTATTACTATAGTGACAGGTGTGTAGTACCTGCAGTGGATAAGAATGAAATAGAGATAGGATGATCAAAAATAAATATTTTATCAGTGAATTGATTGAAGTTAGATATTAACTCTGTCATACGCCTGCTCAGTGGTTTAGAAGTTAAGCGTTAGCACGCGAAACCGAAGGTCTTGGATTCGACTCTTGCGGTTGGAGTTATGGATACACATTGCTTAGGAGATTCATATAGGGACGAAACGACCGTTCACTGCTTCCAGGTTTTCAATGGTGGTCTGAGTTAAATCAGTTCATGAATTCGATAAAATATTTTATAATTGAAAACATTAAGAATATCATGAAGATAATCAATCAGTCAAAGTTACCTAATGCTAAAGTACGAAGTGTATGAATAATTAGAGCACTAATGTATGGCTTTATATTCTAGAAATTTTAAGATATAAGGAGACCCACGAGAAATATGGGTCCCGTGTAGAACTAAATGGGTTAAAAAGGGTGAGAGTAAACTCCACTCTTGTTCTCACTTTTGATCTAGCACTTGACAACCAACCAAAATAAAGCAAGAATTATTATTTACACCATCGTAATCTATGATAGAGGGCATGTTTCATTCTTTGACATTTTTGCTGGCTTACATGAGTAATGTAAAGTTTTCTACAACAAAATTACCACTCAATCATGATATGGACGTGTCAAATGTAGCGCAGTCAGTTGTGATGGGAGAAAAATCACAACATAGCAGAACTCATACTTATGCCTGTTACCCCTCGTGGAGGAGGATAGGCCGCCCACCAGCAGAATTCATACCTTCAATAGAAAGTATTCTAAAGTACTTAAAGCCAAGTGACTAAACGTAGTCATAATTACTGACGATGATATACTTAAATGATATGACAACACGGTGTTCATCGCCAACCGTTTAAAGTATAGAATTCAAATAAAGAAGATTAGGCTACTACTGCCGATGATGTTTACAACATAGTCTTCAATAAATAGTTCATATAGGGCTATGCTGTTGGGAAATATATTTTATCACATTTGGAATGTTGGGATAGAATTCAGTGGAAAGCAAACAGCTAATAACTATATTCAATGAAACAACTAAGCTAGTGAATGAACATTAACTTAATAACCATGTTAGTTGGGTTTAATTTCGCTATCTTACTTTCAATCACTGATAGATTAACTTTGATGTCATTTTACTACGATCATTCTGTTTAATACGAATATCCAAAAAAAAGATAAACAGAAAAGAAAACATGGACCCTTAACTCAATCAATAAACACCATAAAACAATATATTTACATTTAATGACAAGACTAATTTAACGATGTACTTGAAATGAGTCACAATAGTCAAGTTTCAAATGTGTGACCATGTGGTTTCTTTCAATTTGCTTCAATAATATAAAAAAAAGTAATGTATTTATTATCAGAAAGGCGTTTTGTGGAGATTGTAGTAATTTAATAGTTGATTCCATGAGTTAATTAGAGCTATACCACCATGGAAAACATGGAACCACTGAACGGCTGTTTTATCCTAGTATGCGACTCTTCAACAGTGCGCATCCACGACCCGGGATTCGAACCTAGGACCTTTGATCTCGCGCGCATCGGCATCCAACAGTGTTAATGGTCTAAAGGTTAAGTGTTCACGTGTGAGACCGATAGATCCTGGTTTCTAATCCTGATTGTATGATCATGGATGCGCACTGCTGAGGAATCTCATACTAAGGAAAAACAGCCATCCATTGCTACTAGGTTTTCCATGATGGTCTAGCTTCAATTAACTCCTGAATCCAACTATTAAACTGTATTTATTTATTGTTTAGTGTTTTTTTCTTTTCTCAAGTTCCAACTGTACAACTTTATTTGCTTTTAATGAATAATTCCATTTATTATTGAATCCAAATTATATTGATTAAACCAACATGGAATCATATGATTTGAGACATTTAGTGTAAAACAAGTAGTTTTTTACACCACAAATTTATATTGTTCATTTGTGTTTGTTTTATATATAAAACTTAATTCTTCTTTTTTTTCGTTTCTTATTTGTATATTAACCATAGATACTTTATCATGATCTCAACTACACTAAGGGAGAAGCAAGACTCTCCGATACAACACAGCATGCAACAATCGAATCACTCTTGACGAAGAAGATTTGGAAGATCTAAAAACCTTTACATATCTGGTCAGTATCATTGATGAACACTGTGGATATGATGCAGGTGTGAAGGCGCGGATCGGCAAAGCAAGAGGAGCACATTTACAAGTGAAGAACATCTGAAACTCAAGACAACTATCAAACAACACCAAAGTCATAATTTTCAATGCAAATGTCAAGACGGTTCTACTGTATGGGGCAGAAACCTGGAGAACTACAAAAGCCATCATCCAGAAGATACAAGTGTTTATTAACAGTTGGTCAGACACTCTCAGTAACAACCTACTGTGGGAGAGAACAAACCAGATCCCAGCGGAGGAAGAAATCAGGAATAAGCGCTGGAAGTGGATAGGACAAACATTGAGGAAAGCACCCAACTGTGTCACAAGACAAGCCCTCACATGGAATCCTCAAGGTGAAAGGAGGAGAATAGGAAGATCAAAGGACACATTACGCCGAGAAATGTAGACAGATAGACATGAGAGGAATGAACAAAAATTGGATAGAACTGGAAAGGAAGGCGGAGGACAGAGTGAGTTGGAGAATGCTGTTTGACGGCCTATGCTCGATTGGTAGTAATAGGCGTAAGTAAGTTAGTACTTTATCATGAATTAGTCTAACCAATTGTATATTAGTCAATCATAATCAGAGGAGGGGTTTCTAGTGGATATTATAGTAACTTGAATAGTTGAATTCACGAATCAATTGAAGCTAGATCATCATGGAAAACATGGAAGTATTAGACGGCTGTTTCGTCCTAGTATGCAACTCCTCAGAAGTGCGGATCCACGATCTCACCTCGCGAGATTCAAATTCAGGACCTACCGGTCTCACGCGCGAACGCTTAACCTCTAGAA